GTGTTGTGCGTGTATAGTGAATGCAGTGTGTTTGTGTAGTGTGTATACACACTGCATTCACTTTACGCACACTACACACACTGCATTCACTGTACACACACTGCATTCACTATACACACACTACACAAACACACACACTCTGCATTCACTATACACACTACACAAACACACACACACACACACTCTGCATTCATTATATACACACACTACAGAAACACACTACATTCACTATACACACACTACACAAACACACTGCATTAACTATTCACACACTGCATTCACTATACACACTGCATTCACTGTGTGTGTTTGTGTAGTGTGTGTATAGTGAATGCAGTGTGTGTGTTTGTGTAGTGTGTGAATAGTGAATGCAGTGTTTGTGTAGTGTGTGTATAGTGAATACAGTGTGTTTATAAACACACTGCATTCACTTTACGCACACTACACACACACACTGCATTCACTTCACACACACTGCACAAACACTCACTGCATTCACTGTACATACTACACAAACACACTTTGCATTCATTATATACACACTACACAAATACACTCTGCATTCATTATATACACACTACACAAATACACACTGCATTTATTATATACACACTACACAAATACACACTGCATCCACTACACACACACTACACAAACACACACAGCTCCCCTGTCTAAACACACTGCATCCACTACATGTGGCATGTATATTTTGTGCTTTTACCTTTAGAAATTGTTTATTTTTTCAAAATGATAAATCTACAGAATATCGGTAAGCTATCGGCCTGAAAGTTCACAGATTATCGGTATCGGCTCTAAAAAAATCAATATCGATCGATCCCTACAAGCTAGTGGAAAAATTATCTCACGCTAAGGTTCAAAATATGCCTTTTGAAATACCCTGGGATGTCTTCTTTAAGAAATATTATGCCTTTTATGGTGTAGTTGGAATATATAGCCTGCTAAAATGCTCCAAAATGGAACATGGACACAGCGTAAAAATTCAAAGGTGTAAAAAAAAAAAATGGAATTGCTGTGTCTCAAATATGCCCCTTCAATGTTCACATATACCTGGCAAAGGTACATACGGAGGTATTGCTGTACTCAGACGACATAGGTGAGCAACATATGAAGTATTGTACAGCCATAGCACACATAAGATTTGCAAATGATTGCTGCAAAAAAGTTGCAGATAACTTGTGATTGGATAACTTGAGACAAGGTGCTACAGCTGTTAGAGAAAATTAATGTAAATAGAGCTCCGGGGCCTGACCGTATTCACCTACGAGTACTTAAGGAGCTAAGTAGGGAAATAATTGAACCTCTGTATTTAATTTTTCAAGATTCTTTTGTTTCAGGTATGGTACCGGAGGATTGGAGAAAGGCAGATGTCGTTCCTATATTTAAAAAGGGTTCAAAGTCCTTGCCTTAACATGTGAGCTTAACTTCTGTGACTGGGAAAATATTTGAAGGGCTACTAAAGGATAATACTCAGGAATTCATTGGCAGAACTTAGTTATTTGCAATAATCAGCATGGTTTTATGAAACATAGGTCATGTCAAACTAACCTGATTGCATTCTACGAAGAAGTAAGTAGAAGTATAGATCAGTGTGTTGCAGTGGATGTGATCTACTTGGATTTTGCAAAGGCATTTGATACGGTTCCTCGTAATAGGTTAGTCTTCAAACTAAAAGAAATTGGTCTAGATGATTATTCTTGTTCTTGGGTAGAACATTGGCTTAAGGATAGAGTACGAGTTGTCATTAATGGTAAATTTTCAGGCTTGACAAAAGTGGCAATTGGTGTCCCTCAGAATTCTGTTTTGGGACCCCTTCTATTTAACATATTAATAAATGATCTTGAAATAGGCATTGAAAACCTATTTTCAGTGTTTGCAGATGGCACCAAACTTTGTAAAGTAATAAAATGTGAGTAGGATATTGCTTTGCTGCAGAGGGATTTGGATAGATTGGGTACTAAAATGGCAGATTAAGTTTAACGTAGAGAAATGCAAAGTTATGCACTTCGGGGTCAAGAATGCACAAGCAACTTACACCTTAAATAGTAGTGAATTAGGGATAACCACACACAAGAAAGATTTGGAAACTGTTATAGACAACAAATTAGGCAGCAATATGCAATGTCAATCTGCAGTTGCTAAGGCCAGCAAGATTTTGTTATGTATAAATAGGGGCACAAATTCTCGGGATGAAAATATAATTTAGCTTCTTTATAAATTGCTGGTTGAATATGCTGTGCAATCTTTGGCATCTCTTATAAAGAAGGATATCATGGCACTAGTAAAAGTGCAGAGACGAGCTACACAATTGATAAAAGGAATGGAGCATATTAGTTACAAAGTAAGGTTAAAAAAATTAAATCTCTTTAGTTTTGAAAAACGGGTCTCCGAGGGGATATGATAACATTATACAAATATATTCGGGGCCAGTACAAACCATTATCTGGAAATCTATTCATAAACAGGGCTATGCATAGGACACAAGGTCACACATTTAGGCTGGAAAAAAGGAGATTTCATCTAAGGCAAAGAAAAGGTTTTTTTTACAGTAAGAGTAATAAAGATATGGAATTTTCTGCCTGGAGAGGTGGTTTTATCAGAGTCCATACAGATTTTTAAAGGACCACTCTAGGCACCCAGACCACTTCAGCTTAATGAAGTGGTCTGGGTGCCAGGTCCAGCTAGGTTTAACCCATTTTTTTCATAAAACATAGCAGTTTCAGAGAAACTGCTATGTTTATGAATGGGTTAAACCTTCCCCTATTTCCTCTAGCGGCTGTCTCATTGACAGCCACTAGAGGCGCTTGCGTGCTTCTCACAGTGATTTTCACAGTGAGAGCACGCCAGCGTCCATAGGAAAGCATTATGAATGCTTTCCTATGTGACCGGCTGAATGCGCGCGCAGCTCTTGCCGCGCGTGCGCATACAGCTGACGGGGAGGAGAAGAGGAGGATGGGAGGAGGAGAGCTCTCCGCCCAGCGCTGGAAAAAGGTAAGTTTTACTCCTTTTCCCCTTTCCAGAGCCGGGTGGGGGCACCCTCAGGGCACTATAGTGCCAGGAAAACGAGTATGTTTTCCTGGCACTATAGTGGTCCTTTAAATTGAAATTGGATAAATACTTGCAAAAACATAACATACAGGGATATAATTTCTAATTAGTGCGGTAATAGCTGCTTGATCCAATTAGACATCTGACTTCTATTTTGGGGTCAAAAAGGAATTTGTTCCTAGTTTGTTGCAAAATTGGAAGCGCTACAGACTAGGTTTTTTGCCTTCTTTTGGATCAACAGCAAAGACATATGTGAGGAAGGCTGAACTTGATGGACGCAAGTCTCTTTTCAGCTATGTAACTATGTGTGTCCAAAAGGCAGAAAAAAATGCTTATTACCACTACACTTGGTACATGTCACATCCTATTCTTAGCTGCGGATCATTCTGGTGATGGCTTCTGGTATTCAGTACTCTTTTTTTTACAATTCTTGTTTAGTTTTTCTTGTTTTTTTGGGTTTTCTATTCTACGTCTGGTTTTCTTTATGCTGGGTTTTTCTGGGTTCATTCCTGTAATCCGCCCCTGGATTTCCCAGTCTCCAGGTTTCCTTTAAATGTTTGTTTTATGTTGCCACACCCGTTTGTTTTCCTTTCCTTTTGTTTTAGTGTTCCTGCAGGCAGCTGCTCAGGTCTTCTGCCCTTTCTTGCAGGTAAGTACTATGTGTGTTTTCTTTGGTTGGCTTAGCTTGCATTAGGCAGAGTAGGACCTGCCAGATATGGGGTACATTGGCGTTGTTGGCAGGCTTATGCAATGTATGCTCATATAATGTAACTAAATCCCCATGTTTTTCATATATAGTACTTATTTCTCCTCTTGTTTTGCCTATCATATCTTGTCTTGTTTTAGTTTGTATATCCAGTCAATGTACAGTCCTGTCTTGTCCTGCCCATGTTATGTTAATCTTTCCCTAATGTATTGTGTACATGTTCTGGGTTTAGCTTCCTATCCTTCTCTGGTTCTGGGTTCTCCTAGTTCTGTCTTGTTTTCATGTTTGGTGACTATTCTAGCCTTTTCTTGTTTCTGTACTGGATACATTCTTGTTGCAGAGCCTCCCTATTCAGCTCCTGGGAGGTCTGCTTATTTCCTAGTTCCTGGGATCTGCATAAGCTGAATCAGGGTTCTGGTATGTGGCCGCACAAACGCTGGTGCTCAACACCACGGGGCATGCGGTTACCCTGCACCAGACCCTGCTAATCCACCTCCACACTGTGACTCCTATCAGGCATACTGGGTCCTCGTCCTCGCACCACCGCCCGGACAGTGTCTGGGTCCCGGACACCAGACAGCCACTCTGACAGTACACACTTAAAAACCTGAACTTGTCACGTCTCTTTTACAGCAGTGTAACTTCATAAATTAGTGTCTAGGTCATACTTTGGACATATTGTTTTACTCAGAAGATGTAACTGAGCATAATTTGGCGGATTTTATGACAGTGGCACATATAAAATGTAAAAACTACTCAGCAAAAATGCAACATGTATGTAAAAATGCATTTTTTCCCCTCTCACCACAAACATTGGCATGAAGTGGCTACGTTAAAAGTATCAAAATAACCTTAGGTAAATAGCCTGTGATATCTACTTTATATAAATATATACTTTTCTGTGGCAATTTTGTTTTCTGTGGCTACTAAATCTACAAGACAAACATACCAACTTCTAAATTGTTTCACATTGAAATTTTATTTTATTCCTTGTATTTTGTGTCCTGTAACTTTTTTAAAATAAGCTGAAATCCTTCACATATTATGTAGTCTATAAATCAAGACACATCATTTATTTTGAATTACTTTTCGTAAGCTGGACATATTATGAACACGCTATTGCCAAAACTGTGGGGAAAAAAAAGTATTTTTTTGTTTCCTATTTTTTGGCATTTTTTTATTATTAATGAGAATTTATCTATGTATACGTGACATCAAATTAAAGTGCTTTTTTTACTCTAAAAACGGTATATAATGTGTTGGTGCAATAAATGACAGAGATGCAAATTGTGTTTGAACACA